GTTTAAGTTTTTATTTATTATTCGAATGCCTTCTCGAAATTTTTAGGGACTTCTCTTACGTCATTTCCTGTTCCTTATTTATTTGTATACAAGTTCATATGTTTCAAGTAGTAACACAGCTACCTCATTCTATGTATATCAGATGTGTTCTATAAATCAGTGTAATTAAGGGGCAAAATGGTTAACAAATTCGCAGGTTCGAAATACTTATTTTACGGTTTAAACATGAACCAATTTTTCTAAGGAGGGATGAGAGTAATATATAGTTGAGCATTAAAGTGATTTTTAAAACTTTTTTTAAATTTTTTTTAAAACTTCGATTTTGAAATTAATTATCACAGTATAACCTTCCTTCATTACAGGTTTTCAAATGTAGTTTGAGCACATGTACCAAAAATAACAAAATGTCTCTTCATTTTCCTCCCTTCTAGTAAAAGAATGCATAAGATCTGACAATGTACTTTTTCTGTTCTATTTATAAATAGCATTTTGTTTAAATCCAAAACAAATTTTCATAAGCATCACCGCATTTGTTGTCTTAAAGTTGCCGACTCTACCTGAAGTAGAAGTTAAGACTACTAAATCTTCTCAAATCCAAGATTCCAACAATAGTGATACCACATAATCTAAAAGGACTTTACTCAATGTCTTTAAAACAACTTGTGGCGAAACTGTCAACACCAGATTAGATGTGTATCTCCAAATGAAAGAAAAGAAGAAAAAAAAGTAATGAAGTAGCCAAGTGTTGAACTAAAATGCCTCACCAGCACTTTTGATTACTATGAATACTCTTTGGCGACAGTTTTTAATGACTCTCGAATTTCAATGGGAAAAAATAACTCGTTTTCTCTCATTCTTTCTTTCTTTCTTCTACTTCTTGATTTTTTTTAAAGAAATTCCGTAATCGTATAAGCTTAAATGTTTTGAGGATTTCTTTAGAGTAATTATAATATATGAATTATGAGATGATTTAGAAATTGTTTCAATCCCAGATAAAAAAAATCGCAAATATAACATTAATAAAAATGATAAATTAAAACCCGCGTACTGTAACGTAAAGTGCTAGGCTTCCAGACTAATACAAATTTTGAGCAATCAATAAAATTCAGTTTTCACCGCTTTAGTTAAGATTTTTTTTCACTGATTTTTTTTTTTTGTTGATGCTTACATGTTTTAGCTTACACGAAAATATTGTTTAAAAGTTTAAGAAAATTGTTCAACTTGAGTATAATGATACTTTATTAATTTTTCAAATTAAAATAAATTGTTCAATTTAATTTTTGACGAAATTTGGAAATTTTTGACGAAAATATGTTTTAGCCTACAAAAAAAATATAGTTAAAATTGATGGACTGCTTCAATTAACATATTCAAAAATAAAGCACTTTTGGCGTCAATAATTGTAGAATCAGTCATCATAAAAGCAATACGGTAAAATATTTTTTTAAGAATCGAATATCATTTATCTTGATACCTCACTAATTTTCTGCATTAAGAATAATTGTTTAACTTATGTGGGCATGATAGATAAAAATATACTTTAGATTACATACTATCATAATATAAATTGACGAGCTGCTAAGCCTAGTATATATTTACAGAAAACTTATTTGACGTAAATATCTTTCTCATGACACGAAAATATTGTTTAAAAGTTTTTAAGGAAATTATTCAGATTGAGAGAATCGTTTATGTTAATACCATACTAATTTAGCAAATTAAATTACTCGTATAACTCGCATAGAAATTTTCGACAAAAATATACTGTAACTTAACTAATTTAAAGTCAATAAAAATGACTTAATATTTATAACGCCATTTTATAGTGCTAAATTTAATACTGCTTAATAATTGATTAATCAATTTGTATTATGTATCATCACTAAAAAATGTATTTTCTTTCTAAAAAAAACATGAAACAAATGAACTACTATTTACACACTTAAGTAAAACTAATAAGTTTCGAACTGTTCAACTAAAATTTGTATGCATTTTGAGAGAAAAATGAGCTAAAATATCCATACAATTCTTTATGGTGACATCGTTATCAAGAAAAGCACGGATTTAAATTGCAAATTACAATTTTAAAGTAGTGCATCATGCACAAAGAAAATTCAAAAATTAAAATTAAAATCTTAATGTAAAAATGATTTTCTTATGTAATAAAAATTTTTCTGGAAAAAAAATGTATATTGTTTTTAAATTAAAAATTAAATGAAAAATATTTTATAAGAAATAAACAAGGAAAGATCTTTTTAGAGCTCTGTCAGAAAATCAATTTCAAAATGGAAATTTACAAGAATTTATCGAAAATTTTAATAAGTTTGTTTGCTACTTAGAAAGAAAGTTGTAAATTTATTAGAAATTACTAAAACGCAAAATTTTTTGTTATAGAAATCTGATTTTAATTTTTTCTCTCTTATACATTTTGTCACTTATTATAATCAAGTGAAACTATTATTTCAGAAAAGTGGCTTCTACTTGATCATTTTTAATTCCAATTAAAAAATTAAACTTTTGGTGAAAATTGAGAGGAAATTTGTTTAAAAAATACCAAAAATATTTCTTAGATGTAATGTTTATAATTTATACCATGCTTTCGGTCTGATAAATGAATACTACAGAAGATTTTATGGCAATCATAGAATTTATTAAATAGAATATTACTGAATATTACTGAGGCATTTTAACGAATAAATTTCACGAATTAATTGAAATCGTAAATATATCTGATAAAAATCTAAATTTTTCTATGATCATTAACACACAAAGAAAAAATTCTGGTGAAATTACCTTACTGTATAATAATGACATACAACATACTGGTCAATAAACCCAAATTAAACGGTATTTAAACAATTCATTTTGTAATTTTTCTGTTCATATGGTAACGGTTTACCAGAAATTCTGGTTTTCAAAGTTGTTATTCTTATTACACCACATATATAATAACAAATACAAATCTGTAAAAAAATAAATAAATAACGGAATAAAAAGATTTTATGCCATCATGATAAGGTATCACGATAAAATTACCAAATTTTATCACATTTACGAAATTTTATCACATATTATAAAACGATATTTTTTGTTAATTTTGCAAAAATCTTTACTGAAGCACTTCGGTAAAAATTATCGATTATTTTGGTGTTTCCCCAAAGCCACAATGACGGTAAATTTTACCATATTTGGGTAGTTTTGACCATATTTTATCCTCAAAGTAGATTTTTTTTTTAAGAAAAATATTTAAACAATATTACACATTGACTAAGTAACTTTTGAAATGCATCCATAATAGGTTCAATGTATTCCAGTGTAAAATGTCCATTTTTTTAAAAAAAATCTATCTTGTGCATTTTATAATTGTCTTATCCATTATCTAAACATTTTATGGGAAAAAAACTACAATTGAGATAGTTTGAGATAATTGAGATAATTTTTGAGATAATTGAGATAGTTTGAGATAATTGAGATAACAAGAAAATTTTATCTTGTGCATTTTATAATTGTCTTATCCATTATCTAAGCATTTTATGGGAAAAAAACTACAATTGAGATAGTTTGAGATAATTGAGATAACAAGAAAAATTTATCTTGTGCATTTTATAATTGTCTTATCCATTATCTAAACATTTTATGGGAAAAAAACTTCAATTGAGATAGTTCTGAGGCAAATAAAAATACCTTTTTCGATTTACTTTCTCTAATTTTGATTTTTTCACGCAATACAAAACATTCATTTCTCAATCGTGGGAAGAAATACATATTCGTGTTGAAAGATCCCATTACTCAAAATATTCTTAAAAATTTCATTTCTGAACCTGAAGGTGTGATAAAGAAAATTTAAAATCATTTCTACATTGCGAGAAAAAATGTCCGCAACTTTTGGTATTCGAAAGTATCACTCGAATTTTCTTGAACTTTCCTTTTTCTATCTCGATATCTCGAATTCTATTTATACAAAGAGAAAAAAAGTTTTTTGTTAAAATTACTGTACTGTAAAGTTATTTCTCGTTAAAAAAAATATATAATTTTGGTAATAAAAACAAAATATACGGTATTTAAACCATTCATTTGGTAATTTTCCCTTTCATATAGCACGGCTTACTGGAAATTCTGATTTTTAAACGTATAGATTTTACTACCTCATATTTAGTAACAAATACAAAACTGAAAATCAAATTCAACTGAGTATATTGTTTTTTTGTCATGCTAAGGTAACATGATCAAATTAGCAAATCTTACCACATTTATCAAATTAAAACACATTACAAAACAATATTTTGTTGCTAAATTACCAAAATCATTATCAAAACGCTTTAGTAAATATTACTGGGCTTTTTGGTGTGCCCATAAACCAGAAACACGGTAAATTGCAACATATTCTGGAAATTTTGACCATACTTTGTTTCTCAATGTATATTATAAACAAAAATTTCAGATTTTTTTGGCCTATTGCTAACCTTGCTGCAGTTAGGAAATCTTATTTAATTTCCATATAAAAGATGCATGAGCTAAAAATATAATATTTTTTGTGTTGCCAATTGAAAAATAAACAAATTTTTGTTTATTAAAAAGTTTATTGTTCTCTTGACAATTCTCGTCCCTTTTCCGCCTTTGAAGCAGAATATTTCCCACAATTTATACAGCAGATGAGTTTTTAATTTATAATGACCATTACTTTATAAATCAGATTTAATTCTTCGTACTACCATCAGTCATTTCACAATTCACTGCATAATTCACTCTATTTCTCTAGACAAAGGTTAGGAAAATAAGGTAATGGTAAATGGTAATGAAATATGGTAATGTTAAATGGTATATATACATTCAGTGTGACCTGAATATTTTAGGTCACATTTGGCTATTAATAAACATAAAAATAGATAGCGACAACAACAAAAATCAGTAAAAAAGAAGAGCTGCCACCACGTGGTTGAAGAGCATCAAAACAAATCTAAGAAGTCATTTATTGTTGAATGAAAAATGAAATACAGTCCTACCTGAGAAATCTCCAAAGGATAGGTGGTTTGCATCACACGTGATGCAACGCGGCAAAAACACAAAACGTTAGCCAGCCCCTTTTCTTTGAAAGCCGCCTCCCGTAAGACATGCCCACTTTCAACACTCCAGCTCATCTCTGGGCTACTCATTGCGTCACTCAGGCTGGTGACGTAAGAATAAAGGCGTGCCTTAAGTAGGCGGGGTATTAAACGAAATCTGGACGAATGGGGTCGTGGAGTGGGCCAGGATTTACCGCGCCGCGTGATCGGCCGATTCACTCGTATAGCAGCTGCCTTTGCAAGCGATTGCTTCAAGGGTAGTATTTCGCGTGAAAACGACTGTACGAAAGCGCTCTCTATATATCCGGCTAGATCCCCCATCCGAGCGTCCGTCCCAAATCCGGCTTGATCCGGGCGAAAAGGAAAGGCTTATAAAGATTTGGGGGTTTTGGGAAAGAGTATGCCCCGCCTAAATACAAGCTTGTAATCCCCCGGCCACCCTCCTTTTCTATCTGCGGCTTTCTTAATTGATAGATGGACAGTTTGAACGAATCGCTCTGCCTGCAGGACTTCGTAGGCTCCCCGGACCCCACAACACTTGGGGGGCCCATGGGTCCCTTAGGCCACATGGTCAGCTTAGGCCATCACCATCATCACCACCACCACCATCAGTCGCCCTTGACCCAAAGGGCGGGAATGACCACTGACCATGGGGCAGTGGTGACATGCTCTTCAGCACCACACTTGCCTGACTCAGCATCTGATAAGAAAAAAAGAGGTAAGAGTTTTTTTTTTCTCTGTGGTTTCTTTTTTTCTATCGATATTGGAAAGATATCTAACTTCTCTTGTGGTACTAGTATTTTTTTATTGGTGAAAAAAACTGCTAGTATGTACTTAATTAATGATTTAAAGGATATTTTAAAGATAAAAAAAATGTACCAATTAAATACTGATGTGAAAATAAAACGAGAATCGTAACAGTTCATATTTGAGATATAATTTTTGCTACAAAATCTAATTTAGAAATAGAGTTGAACAATTTAATTGAACGAAAATCACCAAAGCGATTAATGGTACAAATAAAGACTCCAATATTGGTGAGGAGGAACTTGCTAACTTACAATTCAGCGCCATTAAGAAAATCGACAAAATATTGACGACAATGTTTACATAGCTTCTTTAATTCCATTGGAAATAGATTAATCTAAAAATTTTAAAAGTAATTTCAAAGTAAGAAGTAATTAATTATCATAAAATATTCATGATGCAGAAGTTTTATTAAGTTTCTTAACAGTTTTTTTGCTAAAATCCTTAAATATCACACAGGTTTTTAATTTCACCTCATTACTCCACCAATGCCATAAAGTATTTCGATTGAATATCCTATTTTATACCATCAAATATTCATTTATTAATTTTTTTTATTACACTTATAAAAATTTTGTATCATATTGCGCCAAAATATCATCCATATTTGCTGCAATTGTTTTATGTCTCTAAGCTGAACCATATTAAGGTACTTCTTAAACTTGTTTACATGATATCTTGAATTAAAACGTGTTAAAGTTGAAGCAAATAGGCACCACCTTGGTCCTATACTGGGGTGGCAGGGGCACCACATTATAATCAATTTAGCAATTTTATGAGTCAACGTTGAACTGAATTTTACTTGAAATTAGTTTTTATCGAATTCATAAAATATACTATTATCTATATTTTAAGTAACAGTTATGAACATTAAATTACCAAATACTAATTTTGGAATTGTTGCACTGCTTTGTTCAGCTTGATTTGTTACAGTTGCAGATTGCAATTTCATCCCGTATTTTTTACCAATTTATTTTTCAGCTTTTTTATTTTAAAAATTAACTGAATTTGGGAAATTAGATTTCTGTAATACTATTAACTGAAGGAAAATTTCAATGAAAAAATTTAGAGGAGGGTTCATTTGATATTATAGAACGAATTAAGGGATACATTTCAAAATAATCAATAAATAAAACGAAATAGTTAAGTTGATGTTTCAAGCTAAGACGAAACATAAAGCTGCTAGACATATAAAGCACAGTCAGGCTTCGTCTTTAATATTTTTGTTAGTTTGAAATACCTTTATTTAATTTTAATATTTCATTTTTCAATGGGGAGTTTGCATAATATAATTTATAAAATAAGTAAAATTTGTAGTAATACCTATTAGTAAAGAAAAATATGTGGCGAAAGTTCAGTTATTTGCGCCGATAACTCCTCTGCATCTTTGGTTCTTTTAATTAGAAATTTAAATATGAAATGTTTTATCCAAAAATTAAATTATGAATTTAGCACAAATGCTTTCTATTCATGCTTTAACATTTGTCAATAAAATTTGGGTATGAGGTAAGAAAAATTAATTAAAAATTTGGTATTATTAGGTATATCTAATATACTTCGAAATTAATTATTTAAATATATTTTGAAGCATGCTTTAAGGAATATGTGAGGTTAATTTTACCAATTAGATAACAAGTTACGAAAAAAATGGTTGCAAAACAAGTTAAGTTTACCAATAATATGAGTTCTTAAAACACACAAACGACACTGCATTATAAAATAAATTAAAAGTAAAGATGGCCAATAAAGTGCAAGAATGGAAAATTTGAAAAATTTTCTTGTCTGTTACTTTTATGCAAAAACCTAACTGAGGAAGGAAAATTTAGCAAAAATGTTTCAAAATAGCTTCTGAACAAATAATAGTCGGAATTCAAAACCCCATGTATTCAAAATTGAAACCGCGTATATTCATTTGAGCAAAATGCATTGTCTCAAAAGTGATGGGGATGTAGAAATGTCTGAGAGAAAAGATTCGTTAGCAGCCGGCGGGATTCGGCACATCATGACATGCTAATTTCCAATTTCAATGGTACAATTTGTTGCAAAATGGAAAATACGGTCCCAATTGCTTAGTCAGAAAATTGATGATTTTAATTTCACTTTTTGCTTATTTCACTACATCTTAAATATTTTTAAGTGAATGCAATATTTAAAGCATCCTACTACGAATCTGGAGGTCCTGGGTTCGAACCCTCTCTCGCACATTTCTCCCTCCACATCACTTTCGAGATTATGTATTTTTTTAAAAAATAAGTATATGCGGTTTCAATTTTGAATACACAGGGTTTTCAAATTCGACTATCATTTGTTTCGGAGCTATTTTTGCACATTTTTGCTCAATTTTGAGAATTTCTTTTTTACAGTGCAGTTCCCAAGAAGTAAATTAATAATAAAAACTAAATAAATAAAGTAAAAGTTCGAGTCTATTTTAAATTCAATAGGTTCGATAATATTTTTAAATCAAAACCTCTTTCTCTTAAATAACAAGGAAGTTTAAATTAATTTTTGATAACGAACCGTTAGTTTCTTCTTTTCAAATTTCGTAGTTTATCAAACAAAAGTGGCGAGGATTTACTTAACATGCGATTCTATTACGTTTTTGTATTTACTTTATGTACCACAACTTTTTCTTATACATTTTGTTCTGGCAAAGAACTCTCAACTACGCTTTCTCTTTGTGATTGTAATTAAATAAATACTTTTTGATAGGAGTGATTTATTTATTATGCTTGTTCTAATCTTAAACCTTATCCAAGTCAATTTCGACATGCTGCTATGAAAATATTGCATATATAGATATATATTATATTATATTGACTATACTATATCGCAGTTACGTTGACTAGCTAAATAGAAAATAAATAGAAGTGATAAAAAAAATTTTGTTGATGATTTAAGAAATAAATAAACGACGTTATAATTAAGAGCTATAAAAAGAAAACCACTCTACTTTGTGAGGAATGTTTTGATTCCTGTTAAATTATATTTCGTGTAAGATTTCAGATTTTAAGTTTCAATAATTTTGGACCTATATATGTGTATAAATTCTTACAATTTTAGAGTAAACTTAATTTGAACAATTTTATTTGAAAATAGTACACAGTAGTTTTGTTTAAAAATGGTACTACAGATGACAACTATCATATCTTTTAAGAAAAATGAATTTGCTTTCCCGTAATTTTAAACTACAGCACTCTTGAAAAATATTTTGTGAAAAAATAACTTCTGATCTAATTTGTATATTTTCCTCTTTGACTTCACGCATTTTGTTGCAAATACCTCATTTAAAAATCAAGGTCATGGAATTAAATATCTTATAATCTCAAACAAGAAAATATTTGAATTACGGTTTTTAATATTTTAGTTGTTTAATTGGTGATACGATTTTTATTTGAAAGAATTAAAAATAATTTATATCTAAAGTTTATAATATGATATAATTGTTTCGTTGATGCTCCTGTATTCGAAGAATGTTTAACGAAACGTATAAGAAATATTGCTTTTTAGTTATTAAATGTGTTGAAAGCTGATATCGTAATATGAGAACCTAGGGGTTATGGATTTAATCTATGAATTACCTAAAATAAGACTTGATATTTTACGCTATGTTTAATATTTCAGTTGTGAAAAACTAATTTTTTTTATTAGATTGTATTGTGTTAAAATATAATTTATTTTTCAGGATCTTATTATCAACTTCATATTTATTTCATCTATCAGTTGATTAGTTGTTCGTTAGATTAGCTTCACCTAGGGGATTTACCATTTTTTTTTTTTAAATAGATCTTGGTATTTTTGTTCCATAAGAGAAAACCGGAAGAGTAAAAAAACGATAAAGAAATCCGGAAAAAGCACCAAAAAACGCGCTTGAGAATAAAACGGGAATAAAAGCTCGGGAAAAAACCTTGTTAGTAATTAAATGAATTTAACAACTGATTCAATTTGGACGGTAAATTATATTTATACGGATAAAATTAGATTATTTTTCATAAGTTATTTCATGTATAAGAATTAAATAGTTCTAAGATTTTTCTAAATTTTAATAATTACCCTTATAGTATTGTGATATAATGATGTACAGAAAATATTTTTTCAGCTAGATATTTCTTTAAAAAAATGTATTAAATTGAAATTTTTTATCATTTTTGAACGATAATCAAACATACATTTCACCAATATTACAAACATACTTATTAAAAAATTAGTGCTTGAGAGATTACTGTTAATTGATACATCGTTTGTAAAAATTAAATTATTTATGTAAATTATTAAAAGTTTCTTTCAGTCAACTTCAAATTGAACATGGTATGAAAATTTAAAAAAAAAAAAAAAAAAAAATCTAATTTTGTTTTCCTTTGCACATCGTTTCCGACGTAATTCTTTGTAAACCAATAAGAATTGCTCTAATTACGTTACGAAATATTAAATTTGTGTTCAACGGCCGAATCGAATCAGACGTTAAATTTATTAAATTTTTAAGGAGGTGCTTTTTTCTGGAGCTTTAATTTTTCATTGCTTTTTTTTGTGGAGGTTTTTCCGGTGCTTTTCTTCCCACTATTCTAAATGAACAGTTAATTTTTTTAAAAAGTTGATTTTAAAAAAAACTCTTTAATTGCAAGTTTTTTTTAATTCAATGTTTTATGCGTAAATTACGAACATATTTCATTAATTCCTTTTTGTAAAGAGCAAAGATTTTATTGTTCATACATACATCTCGGTCTAGTATAAATTTCTTCATATATTTAGAGTGGTAAAACTTTTTAAGTCTGTTGACTTACAATATCTTTCGAATTTGCGAATTGCGATTTCGAATTCTTTATATGGTGCTGAGTCGAAGCTTATCATTATACACTGAGAAAAGTATATGTTAAAAAATACTAGAATATGGTAAAATTTACCGTGTTTCTGTCT